ACATCACAAGGCAACAATGGGTATTAACCAGGGAGAACCGGGGAATCACTGCAAGTTATTAAACGAGCCCCGGCATAATATGTTTTGGAGGTAATTTTTTTTTTCATTTTATTATTTTTGGGATCGCAAATTTTTGATTTTATTTTGATTTTAGGAAGTATTTGTTTTTTATTTTATCTCAATTTTTGTGTGAGGGGGGAAGCCAATTTATTTGCCTTGATATTTTCTTAGGTTAAATAATGCAAAGTTGTAACTTTTTTTTCGGGGGGGTGGGGTGGGGGGTTGAGCGCAATCTTTTATTTTTAGAGGTCATTTTTTTTCTTCTGACGACCTTATATTTAGGAAATTTTGTAGAGTTATCACCTTCCCCCTGGTGGTATTATATTTTTACCTTTCGTTTGTCCCGAAACTCCTATATCTTATGAACAATCAAGTTTAACACGTGTTTTTATTAGTGGGAGGGGTTTTATTAGTGGGAGGTATATAGGAGAAAATATAAGGCTTTTATATGATATCATGCAATACACAGAAGACCATGAAATACCTGGGCTCTTGTTGTTAATTGATTTCGAAAAGGCTTTTGATTCTATTTCTTGGGATTTCTTGCTAAATGTTTTAAAGTTCTTTAATTTTGGGGAATCAATTATCAACTGGATAAAAGTGTTTTATAATAATATAAAGTCTGCAGTTATACAAGGGGGTAACCTTTCTGAATTTTTTAACATAGGTCGGGGCTGCCGACAAGGCGATCCGCTTTCACCTTATCTTTTCATCCTATGTGCTGAGATTCTTGCACTAAAGATAAGAGGAAATAAGGAAATTTGTGGTATTGAAGTTACTCAAGTTGAGCATAAGTTGTCACAGTTTGCCGATGACACTTCATTGATTTTAGATGGTATTGAAAAATCTTTATATGAATCTTTATCTGAATTGGACTGGTTTGCAAAAATATCTGGTTTAAATATAAATTTTGCAAAAACACAAGTAATTTGGTTTGGAAGTAAAAAGTATAGCAATGAAATTTTATGTCCTGATGTTAACCTTTCTTGGGGGGGAGACAACTTTTAAACTACTTGGTATAAATTTTGATGTGGACTTAGAAAATATTGTCAATATCAACTATAATGATAAAATTATACAGATTAAGAATATAATAAAACAGTGGTCAAAAAGAAACCTTACAATAATAGGTAGAATAACTGTGATAAAAACTCTTGTTTTACCTATTTTAAACCACCTTATTATTTCTTTGCCTAATCCTTCAGACAGTGTATTTCAAAAAATTAATAACATTTTTTATACATTTGTATGGAACTCTCCTATACATAGAGTGAAGAAGGACATATTGATTAAAGAATATTTGGAGGGAGGATTAAAAATGATAGATCTTTATAGTTTTACTATGGCACTCAAATCATCATGGATAAGAAGGATTTTTCAGAGAGATAATAATTGGCAAAGTATTTTGATGTCTGATATTGATAAAAATAAACTTTTTAACTGTGGTGTTCAGTATATCAAACAAGTTAGTTTATATATCAAAAACAGTTTTTGGAAAGATGTATTCAGAGCATGGGAAATGATAATTGATAAAGAAAGAAATATGGACTATGAATATTTTTTATCAAGTCCTATTTGGTTTAACAATATGATTAGAATTTGTAATAAACCTGTTTTTTACCAACATTGGTTTAATCATGGTTTACAATATGTAAATGATGTAATAGATGAAAATGGATTTTTTATTTCATTAGAATTGTTACAGCAATGTTACGATATCAATGTAAATTTTTTGAATTACATGAGTGTTATTTCAGCTATCAAAAAAGCAGCAAATAATTACAAAAAAGATTCATATAAGTTATGTTGTCCATTTATTCCCGCTTGCTTACAAGTCTTTTTTAAAAGTAGAAAAGGTTCTAAAGATATGTACAAAATACTCATTAGTAACAATGTGACCCCAACAGGACAACTGAAGTGGGGTGAAATATTAGGTGAAGATCTCATTTGGAAACATATATTCAAACTACCTTTTACAGTCACTGTCAATACTAAACTACAGTGGCTTCAGTACAGAATCAACCACAGAATTCTTGCCACAAATAAATTTTTATGTAAAATCAAACTTATTGATAACCCTTTATGTACTTTTTGTAAATTAGAAGATGAAACTGTTGAACATATTCTGTGGAATTGTGAGATTATCCAAAAATTTTTACAAGATATTGATTATTGGTTTTTATCTGGTGGGGTAAGCCTGCCATTGAATAAGTTAAACTTTATTTTTGGAGATATATCAAAAGTTCGAAAAGGTGACCCATATAATTTGATTTTTCTATACATGAAACAATATATATACAACAGTAGATGTTTTTCAAAAGATCTTTCACTCAGTGCCATTAAAGAAAAGCTAAAATATATGTACAATTTAGAAAAAATTATGGCAGTCAAAAATAAGAGACAAGAGCACTTTGATACCATGTGGAATGCATTTAAAGAATTATTTTTATAATTCAATTTGTCATTTATTATTTACAGATAATTATTGTCAAAACTAACATAATATATTATTGTATCTAATAACACAACTTATTATTTACTGAAAATCTTACAGGATATTTTAACTTCTTCCTTTTTCATAAAATACTTTAGCCTTCTCATGTGCCACACAGTGGTACATAAACATTTAACTCAAATTATCTTTTCTTCCGTATTTATGTTCTCTTTTCATATAAATATAAAACTGAATTTTCAACAATGTTTACTGTCATAAATAAATAGATATTCAAATGTATTGCTAATATTACTGTATGTATGTTTGATGTGTTGTATTTGTTGTAATTCTTGAAAATAATAAAAATTAAAAAAATTAAAAAAAAAAAAGTTTAACACGTGTCGCTGCATGCAGTGAAATGGTCCTTGATAGGCAAACATTTAGGTGAAACGCCATCTAAGTTTCATGACGCTTTGATTAAGATTACATAAATACGTCAAAATAAAGGATCCCTAAAACAAGTCTTACGTATGATTCGCCAAGCCTACGTACCTTTCGTCAATTTGTAAGAAAGCTCTATTATGCTTATGAGGGGTCCTTGTTGACCAAGTGGTCTAAGTAGTTCATATACAGTGTTTACTAGCCTGTCCTTGTTGACCAAGTGGTCTAAGTAGTTCATATACAGTGTTTACTAGCCTATCCTTGTTAACCTAGTGGTCTAAGTTAAGTTTATATACAGTGTTTACTAGCCTGTCCTTGTTGACCAAGTGGTCTAAGTAGTTCATTTACAGTGTTTACTAGCCTATCCTTGTTGACCAAGTGGTCTAAGTAGTTCATATACAGTGTTTACTAGCCTGTCCTTGTTGACCAAGTGGTCTAAGTAGTTCATATACAGTGTTTACTGGCCTGTCTTTGTTGACCTAGTGGTCTAAGTAGTTCATATACAGTGTTTACTACCCTGTCTTACTCTAACATGTCTAAGGTTCAGTATTGATGCTGGCAGCAGGATGTGTTTATTGACAAAGATTGCTAGTTTTCCTGCCGAATGTTGGTGGTTCTCTCCAGGTACTTCAGCTTCCTCAACCAATACATGTTGGCAGCCTTGATATTAACAAGGTTGTTAGAAGTGGTGTTAAACACAAACAAACTCTACTTAGCAAGGGTCCGGAAACGGTCATATATGCCAGTCATGTCCTAAGATGAAACTATTTGTCCTACACAAGATATTGGGATTTAGGACAAATTTTATCTTTTTAAAGAAGTAATTTCGGTCATTTCATTGACTCAATGTTTGAAATCGGATTTCTTAATCGCCATTTTGCACTGTCTTGTGTAAGTTGTGATCACTTGTTTTTGTTTATAATCCCTTTCCTGTAATAAAACTGCCACTCCAGTAGTTTGATAATCCTGTGGGCCCTCCTAATATCTAAGCCTCCGGGAAACATTGGCTAATGATCGCTAATCACTTTTTACCTGTGGTTTTAATTCACACCTGACAGTGATCACAAGGTCAGAATAATATCTTAACAAAAATTGAAATTCCCTGACAAGTGTATTCATTATTTAATTACTTTTTCAGCAAAGACAATCATCAAATCTGATTTAAAAATTAAACCTAAATTTACGGAGAAAAAAGTGTTTTTTCATGTGCTTTATTTACTATATAATACGCATGAGTGAAATTGTCTTCAGCAAATTTAATATTTAATCGTAAAATGCAAATTGATTTCATGCTAAATTAAACGAGTGCAACTATTGTCTGTTACATTCAAACACTTTTAAAGGTAATAAAACAAAAAAGCCATAAAAAGCCGGTGATTTCCTGTCAATTTGATAAACAAAACAAATCCTGGAAATGAATCCGGAATTATTCGTACTTTAACTTTATCGCAAACTTCTGGTTTTAGCTTTTGTCAAATCAAAAGAAACATAAGCTGAGAGATTTACCATTTTGAGTCATTAAAATCATTTCAATTTTAAACTATTGCCTTCCCTAAACTGTTCTTCATGGTAATGGTAAGACATTTACTTAGTAAATGCGATGAAACAGCAATACAAGTTTATTGATGCTATGAATCTAGTCAAGTTGACATCGACAATTTGGAAAGGGTCACCAACTTTTCAATCATCTCAAAATGACCGAAATTGTGTGGAAAAATTTCCAGATCCTTGTTACTTAGATATAGTGTTAGAAATTGAATGTATATTGTATTCAACCTTTCTAGTACTAATTGTTTGGCAAACCACACATGTAACTTGACATATTTAGCATGTAAAGGAGGAGTTTCACAGACACTGAACTGAAAGAGAAGTTACAACTGATAGTTGATGGCTCTCGGTTGAATCAATTTTGTCTACCCAGGCTGTAATTGTTGTTTACCTCATATCCTCTGTTCATTATAATCATGATATGTTTCTCTACTTTACTGGTCAGAACAGACAGAGGGAAAGGATGAAACAAGGACTGACAGTGTGAAAAATAAGTTTATTTTCAGACAAAACTTACCACGTGGGTCTGTAATCATAGCCTGAAAATGGGCTTCTTCAGCAGCAGGTGTTTTCTCTGATGTAAATAGCTCAATGTCAAAAACCACCTCCTCTCCTGGAACACCTCCTCTCTGCTGTTGAATCGAAGTATTTGGAGGAAAGATAGAGCTTGACCAGATATGCATCTTTTGGTTTAATGTGGTTTGTATATCAGTACTGACCTCACTGCAATCTAAGCCAAATGCCGCCATTTCCCAAGGTTCCTTATCAAACTGTTCAACTGTTAAATTCTGAAGTCTGTCTGAAATGGTTTTATCAAGCTGGAGGAAGGCAGGAACATTTGAATGACAAACTACTTTGTCAGAGTATAAAACTGCATGATCCATATTAGATTTTATACTTTTCAACTTCAACTCTTGTTCCTCAAGGCTTTGACATTTCTGGGAGACTTGCTTATTTACTTTTTCTTTCAGGGCTTCTTTGGTACGATCTATCTGTTGATGCAATATTTCAATCACTCCATCAATTTGATTATATATCTGTTTTTTTCGTAGATCAATTTCATCTCTTTCATCATTTATCTCATTCAATACTTTGGATATGATATTGGACTTTTCTTTCACTGAACATACCATCTGTTTGATTTCATCACGTCTCTGATTCCCAACTGTAATGATATCAACCAAGCCATGCCCTTCTTGATATTGATGGTAGATTACAGCACATGTGACACAGATGGGTTTCTGACATTCTTGTTTACTGCAGTATAGCTCTAAAGGTTTTCCAGGGTGGACCTGGCATGTCTGAGGATGACAAAAGGCTGTGAAATCAGTAGCATCTCTAAGTTCTTCAAGTGGTATCAAATCATGACTTCTTGTCACAGTGGTTCGGCGATGTGCTGCCACACAATCTAAACATAGAAACTCTCCACAGGGTCGACATCTGTGGGATGCAACATTTGTTTCCTCACATCCTTTACCTTCACATGCAACTGTTGGTGATGTCTTTACCACCACATAATCAGAAAGATCTCTAGTTGTATTGTCTGTTGGAAAAGAGCCAAATTGATGTTCCATTCTGCAGGTTGGACAGGGAAGGACTCCGTCTTTTACTATTTTTGGGATGCAAGCCTCACATAACAAATGGAGGCAAGGTAACACCTTTGTGTGTGTGTCGTCATGAAAATCTTCCAGACATACAGGACAGGTCAATAGTTGCTTTTGCAGATCATCCAAACTTTCCCGATCCATTTGTTCCTGAAAACAAAAATTAGCATCATTGATGAAAACAATAAATTCATTTTTTTTGGCTTTACATTCTGTACTTATTTATTCTTTGCATTTGCCAAGATCATGTTTCCATGTTATTTTTATGAAGTTGCTGTAAAAATATCTACTTTGAATTACAGCTTCCAGTATATCAGTGTAGTATACATCTATCAGTAGTACAACATGATTTCATTATCAATAGATTATGTCCTTTTTCTGTCACTAGGAACTTCCTTTGATATGGTATCATTAATCATTGCTTTGCTTGCACTTGTGGTTTTATCATTAGTAATAGGTCAATATTACAGAATTAATAGTGCTTTTTCTGTATTTATTTTTATCACCTGTATATATTTAAAGCTTTAAAAGTACCTTTTGTTAATCTACTAAATACATGTAGCTATAATTAAGATAAATTGATTTGAGACTTGCACATGAACATGATGAACATAGTTAGAAATTACACTTATACAAGTTTTTTTTTAATTTACTTGTACCTGCAGGTAAATTGTTTTTGAAGTTAAGTTATATGTATTACACATTCCGATGAATATAAAAATAAATGGGGAATGTGTTCATGGAACACAGATGATGCCCCATGCTTGCATACCATATAAAGTTATAAAGGGACATAACTGAAGAACAGTAAAAGTGACACTACCCAAATCTGTACTTGATCTGAGTTTTGTGGTAATAAGTATTGTGTATAAGTTTCATAACATTTGGTTGAAGCAAACTTAATTAAGTTAGAGAACAGAAACGAAAAATTCAGCATTTTTTTTCGTTTGTAAAGGGCATAACTCTAGAACAGTAAAAGTGACACCACCAAAATTCAAACTTGATCTGTGTTTTGTGGTAATAAGCATTGCATGTGTATAAGTTTCATAACATATGGTTGTGGCAAACTAAAGTTGGAGAACGGAAACGAAAAATTCAGCAATTTTTCCATTTGTAAAGGGGCATAACTCTAGAATGGTTAAAGTGATGCCACCAAAATTCGAACTTGATCTGTGTTTTGTGGTTATAAGCATTGTGTATACGTTTCATAACATTTGGTTGAAGCAAACTTAAGTTAGAGAACGGAAACAAAAAATTCAGCATTTTTTTTCGTATGAAAGGGGCATAACTCTAGAACAGTAAAAGTGACACCACCAAAATTCAAACTTGATCTGTGTTTTGTGGTAATAAGCATTGTGTATAAGTTTCATAACATTTGGTTGAAGCAAACTTAAGTTAGAGAACGGAAACGAAAAATTCAGCATTTTTGTTCGTTTGTAAAGGGCATAACTCTAGAACAGTAAAAGTGACACCACCAAAATTCAAACTTGATCTGTGATTTGTGGTAATAAGCCTTGTGTATAAGTTTCATAACATATGGTTGTGGCAAACTAAAGTTGGAGAACGGAAACGAAAAATTCAGCAATTTTTCCATTTATAAAGGGGCATAACTCTAGAATGGTTAAAGTGATGCCACCAAAATTTGACCTTGATCTGTGTTTTGTAGTTATAAGCATTGTGTATAAGTTTCATAACATTTGGTTTAAGGCAAACTAAAGTTACAGAACGGAAACGAAAAATTCAGCAATTTTTCCATTTGTAAAGGGGCATAACTCTAGAATGGTTGAAGTGATGCCACCAAAATTCGAACTTGATCTGTGTTTTGTGGTTATAAGCATTGTGTATACGTTTCATAATATTTGGTTGAAGCAAACTTAAGTTAGAGAAAGGAAACAAAAAATTCAGCAATTTTTTTCGTTTGAAAGGGGCATAACTCTAGAACAGTAAAAGTGACACCACCAAAATTCAAACTTGATCTGTGTTTTGTGGTAATAAGCATTGTGTATAAGTTTCATAACATTTGGTTCAAGCAAACTTAAGTTAGAGAACGGAAACGAAAAATTCAGCATTTTTTTTTCGTTTGTAAAGGGGCATAACTCTAGAACAGTAAAAGTGACACCACCAAAAATTCAAACTTGATCTGTGTTTTGTGGTAATAAGCCTTGTGTATAAGTTTCATAACATAAAGTTGTGGCAAACTTATTAAAAGTTGGAGAACAGAAACGAAAAATTCAGCAATTTTTCCATTTGTAAAGGGGCATAACTCTAGAATGGTGAAAGTGATGCCACCAAAATTTGACCTTGATCTGTGTTTTGTGGTTATAAGCATTGTGTATAAGTTTCATAACATTGGGTTGAAGCAAACTAAAGTTAGAGAACGGAAACGAAAAATTCAGCAATTTTTCCATTTGTAAAGGGGCATAACTCTAGAATGGTTGAAGTGATGCCACCCAAAATTCGAACTTGATCTGTGTTTTGTGGTTATAAGCATTGTGTATACGTTTCATAACATTTGGTTGAAGCAAACTTAAGTTAGAGAACGGAAACAAAAAATTCAGCATTTTTTTTCGTTTGTAAAGGGGCATAACTCTAGAACAGTAAAAGTGACACCACCAAAATCCAAACTTGATCTGTTATTTGTGGTAATAAGCATTGTGTATAAGTTCCATAACATTTGGTTGAGGCAAACTAAAGTTAGATAACTGAAACCAACTTTGGGACATAACGTACGGACGAACAAGGGTTAAACTTAATGCCCCCTACGCTACAGCGGGGGCATAAAAACTAACTTGGATAAACATCAATTTACAGATTCACATTCAGAGCAATACCTCAATATTTATTTTGTTTTTCTTTAATCAAGTGTATAGTTTTGTTTTGGCATTACTAATTATGTCCTCCTGTACGATATATTCTGTGCAAAATAAAAGCTTCATTGAAGTACAGCAACCAATAGTATGATCATGTATTTATTTCTTATCAGCCAGTTAAGTTCTTTGCGCTTGCTTTCAGTAGTGAATAGTAATATTAAGTGCTTTTCCAGTATTGTTTTTTATTGTATACTGTAAATTCAGAAATTATTGCGTGCATTTATTATTGCGATTTTTCAAGGATGGACAAAACGCGAGTTTAATTATTGTGATTTTTGCTATTTCGATAAAATCTGCATACAGGTCTATGTTTCAGTTATCAGAGTGCAAGTTCTTATTATTGCGATACTCACCCAGTCGCATTATTCGCATTAATAAAAACCTCGCAATAATTTCTGAATTAACAGTATTCTTTAATGTGTATCATTCCTTAATCTTACTACTGATCAGAATCTAAACAAGAGGCTCTCAGGAGCCTGAATCGCTAACCTGTAATTTTTTGCTTAAATCTTTCATCAATGATTATTTTTGCTTTCCAATATATATTTATTAGTGGCTTAAAAATGCCATTTAAATGTTCTTTGTATCTGTCATATTTTCTTCAAAAGCAAAAAAAAGCATTTTACCCCTATGTTCCATTTTAGCCATATAGTGGCTATTTTTCATGACGTATAAGGAAATAAAATACAAATTTTATACTAGATACTCTGAAACTCATTCAGCCCAAGTTTGGCTGAAATTGATTCAACAGTTTCAAAGGAGAAGGTTTTTTAAAGTAAGCAAACTAGATAATCAAATTGTGAAAAATTGTCTTTAAAGGACAATAACTCCTTAAGGGGTCAATTGACAATTTTGGTCATATAAAAACTTATTTGTAGATCTTACTTTACTGAACATTTTTGCTGTTTATAGTTTATTTGTATCTATAATAATATTCAAGATAATAACCCAAAACTGCAAAATTTCCTTAAAATCATCAATTCAGGGGCAATAACCTAAAAATCAGATACCCAATTTGGCTGATAATTTCAGGGCAGATAGACCTTGACCTAATGAAAACTTTAATTTCTTGTCTGATTTGCTCTAATTCTTTAGTTTTTGAGACATGTCAAAAACTGCATTTAACCCCATGTTCTATTTTTAGCCATGGCACCCATGTTTTCTGAGGAAACACAAACTTTATTCTAGATAATTTAAGAATCATTCAGCTTAAGTTTGGTTTAATTTGGTTCAGTAGTTTCAGAGAAGATTTTTAAAAGTTAGAAAACATGATAAACAAATTGTGTAAAATTGTCCTTCAAGGGCAATAACTCCTTAAGGGGTCAATTGACAATTTTGGTCATTAAACTTATTTGTAGATATTACTTTGCTGAACATTTTTGCGGTTTACAGTTTATTTTTATCTATAATAATGTTCAAGATAATAACCAATAAACTGCTTCGCTGAGCGAAGCTGGATACGCCCGCAGAGGTCCAACCCTAAACAGTTGGGGCAAAAATGGACACAATATTCAGCCTTGATACAGGTCTGAATTTGGATTGTAATTAAATATTTGACATATTATAGGTTTCTGAATAAATGTAGTCAAAGAACTTGAAATTGGTTTTATGAATTGAATTTATATTCAATTAAAGATTTCTTTAATTTTAGCAGCTGTTGTGCAATACACTGTGCTGTTGCGCAATACTTAGTAAATCTGTTGTCAGACTATAAACAAAATAAATGTGGATAGTGTCCACATGTGGACACAGATGATGCCCCCGCTTGCATATCATATAGTTATAAAGGGACGCTACCCAAATTTGAACTTGATCTGAGTTTTGTAGTAATAAGCATTGTGTGTAAGTCTCATAACATTTGGTTGAGGCTAACTTAAGTAGAGAACAGAAACTAAAAATTCAGCAATTTTTCTATTTGTAAACACGCATAACTCTAGAACAGTTGTGTATAAGTTTTACAACATTTGGTTGAGACAAACTAAAAAATTCAGCAATTTTTATATTTATAAAGGGACATAACTCTAGAATGGTAAAGTGTTGCCACCTAATTTCGTACTTAATCTGTATTATGTAGTAATAAGCATTGTGTATAAGTTTCATAACATTTGGTTGAGGCAAACTCAAGTTAGAGAACTGAAACAAAAAAATTGTACTTGATCCTTACTGAGTTTTGTGGTAATGAATATTGTGTATAGGTTTCATAATGTTTGGCTGGGGAAAACTTCAGTTACAGAATGGAAACTAAAAAATTTTGCAATCTTTCTATTTATAAAGGGGTAT